TACAGTGAAGCACTCACTCTCAAAGTCAAGGTTGGTCTTTGGCGGCACAGGTACATACGTCTGTCCGACCTGACCCTCTGTATACATCAGCAACCAAGCCAGTTGATACTCATGGAAACAATCTTACGAGGAGTATAAGTGCTAGCAGCCACACACCACTCAGTGCTATTCGCAGAACAGCCCCTATTGCTACAATCAGCTTCGCGGCCAGCATAGGGAGTCAGAAATCAGAAACATACTGAGACTCTTGATCCGGAGACCAGTTCAACAGCGGCTGGTACAAATTCGCGCCTTCGTCGCCGTTCGTGGAAGAGGCTCCCACCCAGACGGAGGCCCATACCTGGTCGGTGGGAGAAGACACCTTCACGCCGGATGGGACGTCCGGTGGGACGAGCGAGTAGGTCGCTTTCGTGATGAAAGCCCCGGTTGGAGGACCGAGGTAGAAGAGACTTTTGCCGAAGACCCAGGAGTCGGCGGGCATGGAGGCCGTAGCCCCCAGGGCTAGGGTTAAGGGAATGGAAATGTATGCGTAGTGCATTGTGAAAATTGTTGCGGGAAATGTCAAGAAAGAAATGAATGTAATGTACTGAAGAAAGAATGAATGGATGTAGATATCCAGATCTACTGTGATGACGAAAGTGATTATTGGAAAGAGTTCGAGGGCTGGTATATAAACTATCGCCCTCGATATGGCACGCAGAAGTAGAGTCTGCACTAAGCTTCATATTGAGTGAAGCCAGTCGGCCATTGTGCCATCGATCGTCGTATCCATAATCTCTCCTAAAATGTCTATTGTTGATTGTGTTTCTGTACTTAGTGCGAGACATTGAAACAAATTCATCACTCTGAAACCGAGTCCGCTGGTTTGGACTCCATCGGTGTCAGGTTGAAACAAGCCTAAGCTATCGGAATTCGGGTGCTTACGAGGGATGAGCTTAGCTAAGTTAAACTCGTCTTCTGAGGACTATTTACTTCGTGCCCTGGCAATAACGTTATGTTGATGCCCCTCTCCTGGGTTTCTGAGATGGCATCCTCAACCCCTTTTTGCTGATCGGCGTGCTTAGCGGTCTAGAACAACTTAATCCAGTTTGACGACCATACTGCTCACATGGCGAGTCAGATTCAACAGGTTCACACAGTTATAGTGATTGCTAGCATGAAAACCATCAAAGAAGTACTTAACCATCAGAGCAACCGTCAACCCCGCTTTTAGCGGGATTGAGGTGCTGCAAGTATGCGCCTTAGCGTTGAACCCTCGGCCACTTTCACAACGATAATGATCGTCCTTGCTGATTGGAAAAAATAGCCAGTGAATTCTGGATGCGTCTGATCACATAAGCGATTGGTGACTGCAAGTTGCAAATGTCCAACTATCCATGTTCCTCCGAGTCTCTCGTCGTTTAGCCAGCTCTAGCGGACAACTCGATACGAGAAAGGAATCTTCAGAGTATTGTACAACAACATTCCGCAACATGACCTCAGCCGAAAAGCAGTTTACGGTCGCGATAGTAGGCGGCGGAATCGGAGGCCTCGCGCTGGCTGCAGGGCTCTTGCGCCGCAATGTGCCTGTTCAAATTTATGAAGCCGCTCCCGCGTTCAAAGAGATCGGGTTGGGTTTGACAATAGGGCCTGCAGCTCACCGTGCAATGCCCTTGATTGATCCTCAAATCCGCGAAATATATGATTCGCTCATCACGACCCATGCGGACAGTCCTGGGTATGAGCGGTTCAGACAGACATGGTTTGAAGTTGTCTGGGCGTCAGGTCCAAAATCAGGCCAGACTCTCATGGACTTAAAGGCCTCGCCGTCAGGGCAAACCACTGTACGGAGAGCGGATTTCTTGGACGCCCTGGTTGGGCTGATACCAACCGAGATTGTGCACTTTGGAAAGAGGTTGATCAAGTTAGTTGAATCGCCGACCGGGGTGGATCTGTACTTTGAAGATGGTATCTCTGCAACTGCAGGTGTGGTGGTCGGTTGTGATGGGATCCATTCAAAAGTCATGGAGTTTATGCTACCGAATGAGTATGAGCAATCCATTCCACGGTACAGCGGAATGTACGGATATCGCGCAGTCTTGGACATGGAGACGATGGTCGAAGCGGTCGGTGATCACCGTGCTCGAGTAGCGACCATGTATGTCGGAGATGGTGCGTATGGGATTTCGTATCCCATCATGCGCGCGAAGAAGGTCAACGTAGGTCTCTATGTCCTGCATGACAGGTGGAACAACGAAGCTTGGGTTCGTCCGGCTAGCAAGGAGGATATGCGGAGGGATATGAGGCATATGGGAGAATATGTCAATCGGCTGGTCGAGGTATGCGGAAAATGATCATCACATTTTTCAGTGCCTCCGGTTGATAGTGTAACAGTATATGCCGGATCCTTCGCAGTGGGCTATATTTGATCATCCGCATTTGTCCACCTTTGCGAGATCGCGTATAGCCATCCTCGGGGACGCGGCTCATGCTTCCACCCCGCACCAAGGAGCAGGAGCAGGACAAGCAATTGAGGATGCACACGTCCTGGCAGAGCTTCTTGGGGATTCGAGGGTAATTGAAGCAAGAGATGTCCTTGCAGCATTTCAGGCGTACGATGCAGTACGGCGGCCGCGCAGTCAGAGGGTGGTAACCAGCAGCAAAGAGAACGCATACCTGTTGTGCTTACGCCTGGATGGAGTAAAAGATGACGAGGGAAAGTTGATAACAACTTTTGGAGAACGGTTACGGTGGCTTTGGGATATTGATATCCAGGACCAAGCGGAGAGGGCAAGGCAGATCATGGTGGAGCAAATGGAGCAGATACGGAGGAGCTCGAATTGTGTATCAAGAAGCGAGTGAAATAGGATCTCTTCAGATGCGCTTAGTTGAAGATGATTCTCTCCAACAAAACCAGTTTCCTGCCCTACAACTCCTGCATCCTGGTGTTGTTGATTTGATGGTTTAGAAGAATTGGCCAATGAGCATCGGCCTGAGGACTCCGGCACCAAAACCTGCGCCAGGCATCCAGGCACCCACGCTCGGCTAACCGCGGCGATACTCCAGATTCCCCGCATGATGAAATGAGAATCCCCAGGTGCGAGACTGTCGTATAAATCGCCCAGGGGAATGTTCCAGGGAAGTCGTTAATTTTGACCTCTCGCGGTCACTTTTTGCAGTATTCCACCCTCACTCCTTCTTTCCCGCCTATCATCCATCCAGCCATGGCTTCTCTCCGCCCCTCTGTCAAGAGGTTATTACGACAGCCTCCCTGCCGGTTGTACTCGGGCGCTCCATCATCCTCATCACGACTCAACCTACCCATCGACTACAAAGCCACGCCTCTCCTGCACCATACCTCGTCCTCACTATCGAACGCGCTAGAGCTCCCCGGCTCGACCACCAGCAAATCACTAAATCTATACCAGGCTATCAATTCCGCGTTGCGAACCGCCCTTGCTACGGATAACAGGGTGATGCTGTTTGGCGAGGATGTAGCATTCGGCGGAGTGTTTCGATGCTCGATGGACTTGCAGACAGAGTTCGGATCGGAGCGTGTTTTCAATACCCCGTTGACGGAGCAGGGTATTGTAGGGTTCGCTATTGGAGCTGCAGCACAAGGCATGAAGCCTGTTGCCGAGATCCAGTTCGCAGATTATGTTTTCCCCGCCTTTGACCAGATCGTGAACGAAGCTGCAAAGTTCAGATATCGAGAGGGAGGTACAGGCGTAAATGTGGGGGGAATGGTGGTCAGAATGCCATGTGGTGCAGTCGGACACGGCGCCCTGTGAGTTGAACGTCATTGCATTGGTACACTCCAGCGATTGCTAATCAGAGTCTTGCACAGATACCATACACAATCCCCCGAAGCGCTTTTCGCCCATGTTCCCGGTGTCCAAGTGGTCATGCCTCGGTCTCCGTCACAAGCAAAGGGCCTCCTCCTCAGCGCCATCTTCCAGAGCAACAACCCTGTCATCTTCATGGAGCCCAAGATTCTGTACCGCGCAGCTGTCGAGCACGTGCCAAACGAATTCTACACAATACCTCTTAACAAAGCGGAAGTGGTCAAACCAGGAACTGACGTGACGGTCGTCTCGTACGGACAACCAATGTACCTCTGCTCAGAAGCCATCAGAGCTATCGAAAAGGACATGGGCGCCAGTGTTGAACTCATCGATCTCCGAACAATATACCCTTGGGACCGACAAACTGTTCTGGACAGCGTGAAGAAGACCGGACGTGCTATCGTGGTCCACGAAAGTATGATCAACTACGGCGTGGGTGCTGAAGTTGCTGCTACCATCCAAGACGGCGCATTCTTGCGCCTGGAGGCTCCGGTGAAGCGAGTGGCTGGCTGGAGCACCCACACCGGCCTTACATTTGAGAAACTCATCTTACCTGATGTCGCAAGTAAGTGATCACCAACCCCTTGCTCGTTTGTTCAGAATGAGCAACTCAATTACTGACGCATATCAGGAATTTATGATGCTATCAAGCAGACACTGGAGTACTGAGCGTTTGTATAGTTCCATAGAGAATAGAGCATTTATGTGCAATGAGAATGCTTTACACCTCAATAGTAGAATAAGTCGTAAGGTTCTACGTGAGTGCTTGGGAAAGAAGCATAAGAGTAGCTCCTATGGTCACTAGTACCGGTGGCTGTACAATATATATATCCCGTTCGTGACAACCAACTTAATCCAAAAGATATTCAGAAGTCATAAAACTGCAGTTAGGTGGAATCGATTACCAATACACTTCGTTAAAGCAATTAACTGGTAGAACGATAATTTTCCAGCCAGGTGCGATGAATGGCTCTGTCTCTTCTACAAATCTGTATTGCTGATGACCCCTTGCTGTTCCTCTTGTACCCCCTGGGTCATGTGACATTACCAAATCTGGAAGTTCCTCTGGCCAATCATTGGCGCGATTTCCAAGCTAGCAAAACAACTGCCACAAGATCCCGGACATCCCGACTTCCGTGCCACACTATCAACTATCCTTTTCCGGTAATCATCAAGATGTCCGCCGAACCTGGACAATCATCACCGTACAGGTCGCCTCATGGACAAACAAATAGTCTTTCAGCCGGAAATTCTTCCACTCCTGCCGCGGCTCCTGCTTCAACCTCTTCCACGACGCGGCCAAAACAAAGAGGGAACGTATGGATGCCAACTTTGACACCCACATCATTGGCGACGAGATATCCTCAAAGAGGGTTGGATCCCAAACAGTTACAACCTGCAACTCCTCCTCAGGACCAAAACGGTCCTTCGACATCATCAGCTACTCCTTCTCAGAGACCTTTGCATACTCCTTCGACCGCCCAACATTCTCCGAGACACCCCTCCACACAACCTTTGAACCAAAGCCCTGTACCTCCGCCGATACCTCATGCCACTCGACCTAAAATACACAATGCGCAAGCGCAACCAGTCCCAGGATCGCCGTATCCAGCGCAATCTACTCCGCAAGCTCAAGCGCCTCAACCTGCGCCTGCCCTGGTTCCGCATTATGCGCCCGGATTGCAGAATGCAACAGCTCAGCAGCCGATACATTCGCAACCGCCGCCCCCACAGGCACAGCCATGCTCCACCGCTCCCCCGCGTCCTTCGGGGACTGGCGCTGTTTTCGAGGTCGGAATGATATATCCATCAATGGAGGAAGCCCGCGAAGCTCTGCTTTGCCATACCATTGCCAAGCACGAATCATATCGGGTGTACAAATCGGACGCAAGGCGGTATATGACCCGATGTCGCAACCGCGACTGCAATTACATGGTTCGAGTCAGCTGGAGAAAGAAGCGGTGCGAGGCATTCGTGTCCATGTACAAGCCGCATACGTGCAGTCCGGACACGCATGATAATTGGCGTCCGGCAGCATCGGTCAATTATCTTGCACCAGCTTACCAGTCTCTCGTCCAAGGAAGTTCAAAGCCGACTGCAGCTCAGATCCTGGAGATTGAGCGGCGCAGGGGCAATCCGATCCAATACCACCAGGGATATCGGACGCTGAAAGCGATTGAGCGTAATCTGTACGGAGATGCAGCTGAATCCTTTGAGAAGCTACCCGCGTTCTTGTCAAGGCTTGCTAAGATCGACCATGCCGGATACTGGAAGATGGAGACGAAGAACGACATTTTTCATCGCTGTTTTGTCGCGCCGGCCGCGACGTTGCACGCTTATACCCTCTGCCGTCGATTTTTGACCATTGACCGCGCGCCGTGGAAGACGAAGTGGGATTTTTCGCTTCTTGTTGCTGCGACATTAGATGCGAACGATCAGGTTCTGCCACTGGCGTGGGCGGTTGTGCCCGATGAGAAGGTGGAATCCTGGGCTTTCTTCCTGCGCCATATGCGCCTAGCGTTTCCGAAAATTGATAGCCCGCGTACTGCGCTGTTGCTTAACCCTCGGCTGGGGATTGACGATGCCGTCAGCCAAGAACTACCTGCTGTTGCCATGATGTATTGCTGCGAATATCTATCTCAAACTTTAATGGAAAAGTTTCGTCCCGAGGAGGAAGTCCGCAAGCAATTCTGGAAAGCTGCACGAGCGGAATCGGAACCTACATTCGCGCAGGCAATAGCTCAAATCAAACACCCGCGTGCGAAACAGTGGATCGAGTCGATCCCACGACAAAGATGGGCCAAGCACGCCTTGCCAGTTCCTCGGTATGAGCAACTGTCCATGACCACCATGGAATCTCTGCACTTCTTATGGTTGAACACCCGCAACCTGCCCGTTCTACGAGCCTTGTATTCAATCTGGCTCAACATCACCGACCGACTCCATCACTGCCGGGAGATTGAGTTCAAGCAATCCAACAAATTGACCGACTTTGCTCAGGAATGGATTGTGCGGCAAAAGCAGCTCTCTCGGACCTGTACAGCAGTGGCAAGTTCCCAGGAGCAGTTCACCGTGCTCAACAAAGCCGTAGGCTTCGTGGTGGATCTGAATGCTCTGACATGCAGCTGCCTCGACTGGCAAGATCTCCAATTACCATGCCGCCACGCCCTCGCTGCCATTGCTACCACTTCTCGCCCCATCAACGACTTCGTCCCCCCAGCATATCACATCAGCACATACAAACAGATCTACACCGGCGTTACGATGCCGCTCGAACTGCGAGACCTGGACAACTTTGGCCAGTGCAGCGCCCCAGCCACAAATCGTCGCGGAAGACCATCAATGAATTCTTCCAAACAACCCCCGAGAGATGGCGGTGTCCAGCCCCACTGTTCCGTCTGCAGGCAACCCGGACATTCCGGCCAAAGCGACATCTGTGCGAACAATCTCGAGGAGCGGAACATTGTCGTCCAAGATCTACCCGATGGCATCCGGGCCTTCGAACACAAACCGGGCCCCCCACCTCCGAAACCCCAGTACCCGGCCGTGGCTGTCGTTGTGCCTGTCAAGCCCACGATTACACACCCTACCACATCAACCCCTGAGGTGCCGACCGTGTGTGTGCCCCGCAGGCCCCGGGGCAGCAGCCAAAGCAGCCGCAGTAGTAGCAGCAGTGACGACAACAAGACTCCCAGCGATGAAGGCAACGGCACGGGCAATGACCGGGGATCGCTGGACCCAGGCTTCACGCAAATCTCTTGCTCGCCCCATTGGGCTCGATTACCCGGAGAGCAGGACTCACCTGGGGTGAAAAAACCCACAGCCCCAAGGCCTTCATTGAATTTTGCACCTGCGCCCTCCGACGGGGGATCCCGGCTGGAATGGGCGCTGGACGCGAAGAAGAAACTCGATGCCGAGAAAGAGTATCTGTCGTATGAGGAGTTGAGTCGTCTGCAGGGGCAGATTCTCGACGGTCTTTTTCTAGCACAGACGTAGCGTCAGGGACGTGTTGTAATACTTATTTACTTAATAACGTTCGAAATGCAGGCCCTTTCGACGTCTCCGAGAACAGCACAGATTTACTAGTCTTTCATAAGCCTATCATATCTTGAAACTAGTAATATAGAATCCCATAATTAATATATTCATCAGAAAAGAATCATGAATATCTATATGATGCATCGCCAAGTACTCGCTAAAATGAAGGATATCTCGAACCATAAATACAGGCCCCCCCATAACGAAATCCCAAGATCGCTAAAATACATATCATGTCACGTAGCAAGAAATGACTAGAAACTGAAAAGCCCACTCCGGCGCTTTCCAAACGGATATACAACCAACGCTGCAATGAACAATCCCACAGTGATACCAATCGCCACCTGGATCATTCCGAAACCTAAGCTAGCGATAGATGTATCCTGGCTGCTCGTGTCGGTGCCATTACCGCCCTTATGCAGATTCTCCCGAACTTGATTCGCATAGTTGATGCCGGCGATCAGGGATCCTGAGGAGGCCAGCCCTGACGGCACGAGGACGAAGATACCCGGTAGAATGGCGGTAGCTGCGTGACCGTGCCATAAGCGGCTGTATAGATTGCCCAGGATGCCGAGGGTGAAGGCGCCGACGGTATTGGCGACTTCGGAGCGGGAGCCGAGCTTGGTAGTGCTGAAGTAGTTGGTAATGTAGCCGCAGGTTGCGATGAAGATCATGACGGGGACTTGTTTCCATTTGGCTTGGTTGATGACTGCGAGGCAGATGACGAAGATTGGGACGAAGATGAAGTGTTGTGTGTACTTGCTGCCGTAGATGGAGAGGTCGCGGCAGGTGGTTTCGGAGGTGGCGTTGCCGTCGATGAGGCCGTAGACGGTAGTACCGACTGTAATGCCGTAGCCAAGGAAGAGCGAATAAATTATGGCAAAGACCATGCGGATGGAACCTGCAATCATCTGGTGGGATTGGAGTTCAAGACTGCTGCACAGAACCATGAAACCCGGTAGGATCAGGGCAATGGAGGACTGTGCCAGAGCGGAGAAGCAGAAGAGGGACTGTTTTTGGCCGTCCACAGTTATGCGGATCGAGCCGAACGCGCGTGCCAGGAAAGAGGTCAACACTGCCGCTGTCACTTCGAACACATTGGAATAGAGGGTGGATCGGGGAGATATGACGTGCTGCATCAGACCGACGAGCGACCCAAGAATGAAGATGACCGGCATGTCAATAGGCCGGGCGTCGAAGGCGAAGGGGCCGACCGCGGCGCCAGCCAAACCGTAGACCGGAACCAAGATCCATTTATTGAAACGCGGCTTGCGCTTCATGATTTCGTCAAGTTCCTGGATGGCTTCTTCGACTCCGATCAGGTCATGAACGACATTTTTGTAAACGTTGTGCGTTTCAGCCAATCGTCCCAGATCGACCCCCTGCGGCGAACGAACTAGCTTGACTTCGGCTGTTCGAGTGACAGGGTCATCGAAGGACATGATCATACAACCCGGCAGATACAGAAACTGTCCCTCTACCTCCAGGACCCGCGCCGTCATGGTCATGTATTCCTCCAATCGGTGCGTAGGCGCACCATACCGCATCAGGGCACGGCACAACTGCATGATATACCGATGTCGTGCCAGGATCTCTGCAATATGCACGGTCACCTTGATTTCATCTTCCAACCGATGCTTGCGATAAGCCTTCTTCTTCCCCCGCTTCTGCTGCTGTGTCATTGACAGAACATCGGCGGACGACGGTAAGGTCGCTCGACTCAAGTTCATCGATGCTTCCACCAGGGAAGCAGTCGATCGATGGTGCGGTTTCTTGTACCATTTGACTTTCTCCTTTTTGGGTGTGACTGCACCCGACTTGGGAGTTGCCGATCCTGACTTGGGAGTTGTAGCTCCCGAGGACATGGGAGAGCCATCATCGGAATCATCCGTCACCGACAAACCATCCTTTTCATTCTGCGCAGCCTGCAGTTTAAGCAGTTGAGACAAAATTCCGCCTCCTCCGCTGAAGGATAGAGGACGGTAGGAATCGTACCACGAACTGGGACGCTCGGGAGTGCTCTGGCCAGAACGTTGGTACGCAGGTTTCGGTTTGCGATGGCGCAGATTATTGTGTTGAGTCATCCGTCGAACAAGACGGTGCGCCTCTGCGCTGGGGTTGGGTCGGTTCTCATCGTCCGTATCATCGCCCACAGGCATTTGGTACTGGCTGTGGAACCTGCGCATCGGCATCCCACCTTCAAGGTCCTCAGGCAAAAGAGAGACTCCCAGCGCCTCGCCGTCATCCAGAGGTCTACCCAGGCGTTCTCCCAAACGGACCGTCTTCTGCCTAATCAACTGACCAGCCTCCTTCCATCTTTGTTTGACAGACTTCGATCGGTTCGGCGTTCGCTCCCTGGTTGTGGAGTCTTCGGAGATGCGTTCGGGGGTAGAAGGCGGGTATTTGGGGCTGGGGTAACCCAAACCATCGTATCTCGATGTTATATCCGTCTCATCATCGAATTGCTCTGCTTTTAGCATATCGGTAACATCTGTGGATCGTGGTGCGGAATTGAGCAGCGTCCGGGTGGAGCTGTCGGATGTATTTGAATAGACTTTCTCGGTGGTCTCCGTATTGTCGGCATCACGATGTTGGCTGAAAGAACGAAACCTGACTCGATGTGGTCGTGAGAGTTCGCCGGGTAGTCCGAGGTGGTGACTCTCCAGCGCTTCGGCGTTGGCCGGCTGTGAGAGACTGCGGCGATGACCTCTGCGGTCCTCAACGGCGTTCCGCTCTAAAGACTCTGGATTGGTGAGCAACTCGTAACTTTCGTTATCATGATGAGTCTCCGACATTGGGAGGCAAATGCACTCCAGATGTCAATTATCGTTGCAATAAAGTTGAAGTGGAGGTCGAGAAGAGAGTGAACGGGGCAGGAGACGATGAACGAATGTCTGGATGAACGGTGGAGGTAACGGATAGAGATTAAAAGGAATAAGCACCGTACAAATACATACAATGATGGCGCAATGATATGACAAATCGAGGAATGCAATGGTGTTAATGGGTTAAGGAAAGGCAGCGAGAAGCAGAGAGGATGGACGAGTGGGGAGAGGAACCAGAGAGGGGGAGGGAGTGGGAGAGGCGAACCAAAAATAAGTTGAGTCTAGAACAGATTCTCATCTCGAAAGATGGAAGTTCTGCAAGATCTGTCAGAAAGCCATTGACTTTTTAAAGAAACGTCAAGTCTCGGCGCAGAGTTCATTGTTGTGAGGTTGATGAGAGGACAAGAAGACGATGATCTCATGGTGGAGGGGCAGGATTGACTGACTCTGTCAGTGCTTCGGAGGGTCTTGGACAGACGATCCTTATCAATAGCACTCTTTACTATGGCTTCTATTCTCGACGATCTACAACAGCTTCCATGCAGCACGAGATCGCTATATTTTATTACCAGGTGATTGTCTATAATCTATTGTTCTAGAACATAACCACTCTACTACCTATCCTCCATTCCCAAAGAGCCTACTCGATCAGGCGTCAAAGGACTCGACGCTCAAAGACCCAAACTCAAATGACACTGCAATCTCAGTACGCAACCAGTGGAGAACCAATGGCACAATCCTGATACATAAAGATGGATAAGATGCTTGGTTGTGGGTCGGGACTCGGAAGTGGCGAAGATGACAGAATCACAACGAATCACCGACGCTGCGGTGGAAGCTGCAGAGAAAATCTTTGCCTTCTAGGCCTGCGCCGTGGCTGCAGCGGACTCGACCGGCAATGTGGTCTATTGGAGTATCCTGATGGGCTGTTGAACGTGTCCTTGTCAAAGTTCCAGCCAATTTACCCGTTCAAATTACCCACCTCGGGCAGATCATCTTGAAAGGAACCACAGCACAGAGTCCAGACTTGAATCCAAGTCCAGGCTGCAGATCCATACTACGTACCTCCCCCTATGCTCTTGTGGGACCCAACGACGCGCATTAAAGTCGCATCAATATGTGTTCTATTTTCGTCCATCACGCAGCTCAGCTGCTGGAATACTACAATTGCATGTGAACGATTATTATTAGACTATTATGGCCATGGAAAACTGGATTCTGCACCACGAATTATCGTCTATCACGACTGTCAAAATCCCACTTGTTCAACCACCCAACGCTAACATTCAGATATGTCGCAAAGCAGAGCCATCCCGCATATGGAAGCATCATCCAAAACGCAGCACGATCCATATCCCACCACATCGCCATCAGTTTCCCGACCGTACCGCCCAGAACTACCATATCCGCAAGGGCCCACCCAGGTTTCCGCGCACCGAAGAACAACGGCATCCAGAGGCAGTTGAGGACCAGCTGCGTCGTGTACAACGTTTGGGACGAGGCTACTGCCGTCGCGGGTGTGAGGTGGGTCGCGGAGGTGGTTGCGTGGTGGGCCGCGTAGCCCATCATCCCGTAGAGGATGGTCCACACGGGCCCGAAGACCCAGGCGGGAGGGCGTAGGGGCGGTTGGCGGAGACGGCTGTAGAGTTCTTTTGTGTGGCCTATTTCTGTAGACGTATGCAGTAAGTATGGGCCAGTTGGTCTGCCATAAAGGTAACTAGTGATATCTTATCTATCGCCGTTGAAGAAGACGCATACTGTTGACCAGATATCCCACCAGGCATCCCACGCCAATAGGCGTCGCTACAGCCAGGACTGGGGAGGTGAAAAGCTCTTGTGGGAGTGCAAATGACCAGGGCATCGTGCTTGAGATTGAAAGATATTTTCCACGTAGAGTATTGATCCTTGTCCTTCGGACAGTTTTACAAAGTTGTCTATGTTGCTGAGTGTTGGGGTTTTATCTACTCCGTTCGGCCAATCATCCGATCGATCGATATGCACCAACGTCATTGTCCATAAACTCCACCTTGCTTGGAAGAGACGCTACGAACCACAATCCATTGAACATGCGCGGCTGCTGTTTTAGGAATATGGAAAATAACAATCATCGCGCTCGAGTATAAGGGAAATTAACACAGCAACCAGAATGTGTGGGACGGCTCCGTGGCATCCAGTGTCAGTGACTTCAGGGAAATACATATCGCGAAACAAACAGAACAACAAAAGTCAAACCACAGCGAGCCAAATAAGCTCGCTTGTCGACTAAAAGGGTCAGCGATGACACGGAATACAGACTCGGCAAAATATGGACACGTTTTATTAGTCGTACTAGATTGGGGACGGTGACTTTTGAAAGGGCGGCTGCATCTACCTCCAGGTATCCTGGCATCCAGGGCACGAAAGAACCGAAGTGATTCAGGGACGGTCTCGATGTCCGACGGAGTCTTGTAGAAGGAAGGCTGAAGTTGATATAAAGTATCGCAATACTCTCTATCAAACCAAGCCAAGTCGTAATTGAGTATAGGCGGCGAATTTCATCCAGTCAAAAGACCAGATAGAAGAACAACCCAGCTAACAGTCAGCCACGATGCCACTCAAATTGCTTTGCCTGCATGGTTGGGGCACAAACATCAAGGTATGTGACACGAGCATCCCATTCTCATCCTGCTCGCTGACATTGTGACAGATCTTGCAATCTCAGCTGAGTGAGTAGCACAGCTTTCAGCTCTGCTGCCACATACTAACGAGACAGATGGCTTGATGACCGAACTCCGACGAGATAATACGGCGACATTCCATTTTGTCGAAGGCGACGTTGACTCGGTGCCGGGTCCTGGCATCGCAGGATTCTATGACGGTCCCTACTACAGCTATTACAACTTTCCCCGGTCGTTTTCTGACCCTGACGGCAGCGAGGAGGAATCCTTGCTCGAAGCATACAACCTCCTCTATGACATCATCGACGAGGACGGCCCTTTTGATGGTATCCTAGGCTTCTCTCACGGAGGAACCCTGGCTTCGGGCTTTCTCATTCATCATGCCAAGACGTATCCGCATGAACCACCTCTCTTTCGATGCGCCATATTCATCAATTCTCTACCACCGTTCCGCATGAACCCCGATGAGAACCCAGAAATCGACCCAGACCTTGACGGCCATATCAAGATACCGACTGTAAGCATTGCTGGGGCGAAGGATCCCTTGTTCGAGTATTCGCTTGCATTGCACAGGCTGTGTGATCCATCGAAGTCCACGTGGATAGTGCACAGCAAGGCCCACGATATTCCCAACGATAAGAAAAATGTTGCTTTGATGGCTGCAGGTATCCGCAAGTTGGCCATTGAAGCTTTGGCGATATGGTGATTGTACCCTGGCCTTTGTTTCGGTCCTACCTTGCACAGAATAGAATATTCCGCATGTGTATCCTTCATTCATTGCTTTCAATGTCGGTTTTCTCAGTGTACTGGTACGGAGCATTCTTTGCATCGTTAGACACGAATTTCAGGTTTGATGATCGGATAATAACCAAGCCATGTATATTTGTCTGCTAGCGCTGTTCTGCAATTTAATGATTGTCTTGAACCCTTGCCGAGCCTCTGTCACCTGCGAGTACGTCGACTTGTCATATGGGTGGGCAATTTGTAGTCTTTTACCATGGCTATCAACTCCTTCGAAGGGACTGGGGAACCCGTCCAGCTCCCGTCTGCTCCCTCTCATGCGCACACAGAAGATGAAGTTTCAGACTCGCTGGACGACGCATCAATACCAATTGCCGTCATTGGCATGGGATTCCGAGGGCCCGGAGATGCCACCAACGTTGAAGAGCTGTGGAAAATGATACTCGAAGGCCGGGAATCATGGAGTCAGATACCTGAGTCGAGATGGAACAGTTATGCGTTTTATCACCCAGACCATGCGAGGCACGGCACTGTAAGTCACCATAACGGCCAAATGAAATATGTGATAACAGTATCTGCAGATCAATGTCCAAGGCGGCCACTTTCTGACTGAAGATGTATCTCTTTTCGATGCGCCCTTTTTCAACATGACGAGTGACGAGGCAGCGGTTTGTAGCCTTTCCACAGAGTATCTGTATGATTGGGTCCTATCAAGCTTATCATATCGCTTCTCAGGCGATGGATCCCCAGCAGCGGTTATTGCTCGAAGTGACCTATGAAGGACTAGAGAACGGTCGGTTTTCTAGAGCATAGAGGTCATTGGATAGCACTCACACCTGCCAGCCGGTATACCTCTTCCCGAAATCATGGGAAGCCAGACATCCTGCTTCGTCGGGTCTTTCAATGCGGATTACACTGATCTCCTCCTACGCGACCCCGATGCTATCCCCATGTATCAATGCACCAATGCTGGCCAGTCGCGTGCCATGATGGCCAATCGAGTGTCATACTTCTTCGACCTCAAGGGCCCCAGCGTCACAGTCGATACCGCTTGCTCGGGGAGTCTAGTCGCACTGCATTTGGCTTGTCAAACGTTGCGCACTGGGGACGCTGCGATGGCAATTGCTGCGGGAGTAAACGTGATTCTCAGCCATGAATTCATGTCCACAATGACCATGATGAAGTAGGTTCGCGTGTAACACTTGATTTGCCATTGCATTAAACAGTATCCAGGTTTCTGTCACCGGATGGACGCTGCCACACATTCGACGAGAAAGCCAACGGATATGCTCGTGGTGAAGGGATTGGGTGTCTGATCCTGAAGCCACTCAAGGACGCCATCAGAGATAAAGATCCTATCCGAGCTGTCATTAGGGGTTCTGGGTCGAATCAAGATGGCAGAACTCCCGGCATCACTCTTCCAAGTGGAGCGTCACAGGAGGCCTTGATTCGCCATGTTTACAGCATGGCAGGCCTTCATCCGCATGATACAGAATTCGTGGAAACACACGGCACAGGGACTCAAGCAGGAGATCCAATTGAGACAGGAGCGCTCGCGAGAGTGTTTTGCGCCAACAGGAATTCAGAGAAGCCACTGCGCATCGGGTCCATCAAAACAAACGTGGGGCATCTGGAGGGAACAAGCGGAGTCGCGGGCGTGATCAAGGCAGTGTTGATGCTCGAGAACCGCACTTTCCTCCCCAACCGCAACTTTACTTCCCTCAATCCACGCATCTTGCTAGACGAATGGAAGCTCAAGGCATGGTCTCCCATATTGTCCTCCATGATTGAATAGAATGATAATGATTACAGGTTCAACTCGATCCGGAACCATGGGAGAGCACAGGGCCTCATCGCGTGTCGGTAAACAGTTTCGGGTATGGGGGAAGCAACGCACACGTTATCCTGGAAGATACATATGGGTACTTACAATCGCACGGTTTACAAGCCCCTGTTGGCAAACCTGGTACACCTTTCCTGAGGAAGGCCCCTGAGCAATCGCAAACTCCCAACGGCCGCCACAACGGATCTCCCATACGGACACGTCTCTTGATGCTCTCCGGTTTTGACGATCATTCCATCGCAAAGCAGATAGAAAATATAAGAGACTATCTCCGCGAAAGAGAATCAATAGCTGACGATCGCTTCATGAACAATTTGGCTTTCACATTGAATCAACGGCGTACAACCCTGATATGTCGAGCAGCGGTTACTGGTAACTCAGCTGCCAGTGTGACTAAAGCCTTGGAAGGTAGTATCAAGGTTAGAAAGGCTACACGAAAGCCAGTGGTTGGTTTTGTTTTCACTGGCCAGGGAGCTCAATGGTGCGGGATGGGACGGGAGTTGGTAGGAGCATATCCCGTTTTTCGCCAGTCAATGGAACGAATTGATGCACACTTGATTCAACTCGGGGCTCCATTTTCCGCCCTAGGTAAGAACGGAATCCGAGTCATTGAATCAAGGGTCATGGCCTGACTAGTAAAGAAGCCCGCTAATCATGCTGCAACAGGTGAGATTCTCGAGAATCAAGACGCATCACGGCTCAACCATCCTCTACACAGTCAAACAATCTGCACAGCACTTCAAATCGCACTTGTCGACCTTCTAAGTTCATGGGACATACAGCCAGATTCAGTTACTGGCCATTCCAGTGGCGAAATAGCCGCAGCGTACGCCATCGGAGCGTTAAGCATGAAGGACGCTATATCCGTTGCATACTATAGGGGTGCTGCAGCGAGCAAGCTATCGCACAACGAAGAAGTGAAAGGAGGGATGCTCGCTGCCGGAGTGTCGCCCGCCCAGATAGAACCGTTCCTGGATACGTTAAAATCTGGGAAAGCCGTCGTGGCATGCATTAACAGCCCGGCCAGCGTTACTATCTCGGGAGACGTTGAAGCTATTGACGAGCTTGAGAAGTCATTAAAGGAGAAAGAATTCTTCTGCCGACGTCTGGTAGTGGATGTTGCATATCATTCCCACCACATGGAACTAGTTGGCGGAGAATATCTGGACCTGATATCGAACGTTCGACCACGTATTGGAAGCAAATCCATAAAGTATCCTGCCTCCTTTTTCTCTTCGGTGACAGGAGCTGAGGTCAAACCCTCCGATCTGGGCTCTCAATATTGGACAAGGAATCTTCTCGGACAAGTCAGATTCGTTGACTCCGTCAGGGCGCTTTGTTTCGAAACCAGTACTCAGAAATCGATGTCTGCAGCCCCTAATAGCAGACGGGCCAGGCGGCCAAACGGTACACGCAAGGTCAACGTCGATGTCTTGCTGGAGGTTGGCCCTCATGGAGCATTGTCGGGTCCAATTCGTCAAATTCTGAAACATGACAACAAACTGGATGCGGCCGGGATACATTATGCGAGCACTTTGACTCGTAAAGTTGATTCTGTCACTACGACATTAGAGGTTGCTGGAACCCTGGCCTGCCTGGGTTCTCAGGTCAACTTTTCCGCAATCAACGACCCGTTAGCTGAGATGCTAGATACGCAAGTCATGATCGATCTTCCTCCCTATGCATGGAACCACAGCAGATCATACTGGGCCGAGTCACGCATCAGCACAACATTCAGAAAGCGCAGGCACCCGCGAACAGATCTCCTGGGTGCTCTCGACAGAATGTCATGTCCGTTCGAGCCTCGCTGGAGAAACTTTGTGCGTATATCGGAGATCCCATGGCTGAAAGATCATAAAATACAGTCGAACATAGTTTATCCTGCAGCGGGGTACATTGCAATGGCCATTGAAGCTGCATCTCAACACATGCTGGAGCAAGAGGCCAACAGGGACATGTCAGCGTTTATTCTCCGTGATGTTGAAATAAGAGCCGCTTTGGTCATCCAGGAGAACTCTGCAGCTGAAGTCATGACGTCGCTACGAGCGTGTCAGGGTAGCACTGAAGACTCCGAGCGTCTCTACGAATTCAACGTCTATTCAGTGACCGCCGAGAATCGATGGACCGAGCATTGCCGTGGCCTAGTTGGCATTCATGACATGTCCCTGGATACCGAGTATGAGCTTGGTTCCCAGACGGCAGAAAGACCTTCCGACCTCAGTGTCATAGACATTTCGACGTTCTACGAAAATCTAGCAAGCATTGGCCTCGAATATGGTCCTTGCTTTGCGAATCTGACGCATGCTAATCGTGCTGACAACTTGTGCTTTGCTGAAGTTACTATCCCTGACACAGCAGCTGTCATGCCTGAGAATTTCCAGTACCCATACTTAATCCACCCCTGCACCCTTGACAGCGTATTTCATTCAATATTTGTTCAGACAAACATTGCGGACGATCCCGCTATCCCGGTTCATATAGACGAGCTTTGCGTGTCTCGGTGTACAGAGCGTTCACCTGGTGCGAAAATGCAAATCGAGACGCATATTAACAAGAGGACGAGAAAGGGTATTGTCGCCTCAATTACAGTGATGAACAGCAATGATACTATTGCTATGTCGATTCAAGGATTGCGATGCATGAGCCTTGAGAGCAGCGTCCCGAAGCAGCCAGTCAACCCGACTGGCCGCCTCGGGTACATGCTTACTTGGAAAGCAGATCCGGATTTACTTTCAAGGCAAGACTTTAGTACTGTTTTCACTGAGAACAATCAGGACAGCGCAGAACATTCAAACAGAACTTCGTTGGAAAATTGCGCGTCCTACTATATTCGGAAAGCCATCCAGGATCTTAAATCCGTGGACAAGGAAGAATTGCATCCAGTCAGGAGACACCAGCTCGAATTCTTCGTCGACCGAACGCAAGAAAGTTGCTTATTTCCGTTATCAGAAATGAATACTGCCGATATCCATGCAGTGAGTGCTTCCGGACCGGAAGGAAGACTCCTCACTTCAATTGGCGAGCAACTCAGTGCAGTCTTGCAAGATTCGAAATTCTCGACCACTGATATGGATCCTTCAATATGGGAGGAATACTGGGACGATATCCGCACAGGCCCGGCG